GKWWTCATGYTYGTAACCATCATAGGCACCATTTGATGCTRTTTTTAGARTCACATTTGCCATCGTTTGTTTTTCTGCRCGCGCATACTGCGCACGAACTACGCTGTTTRCTCACGTTTTTTCGAAAAWYACAAGAAAAGAAAACRTRAACAACAAGCTTAGTGCGTGCGCAGTAATCGCGTGCAGAAAAAACATTTTAAGAATAGCATCGAAGAATGATCATGATGGGGCATGGGGATTCCTTCTCTTAGTTCATTTTGTCTTGGTAATATATCGGTTAACTGCAGTATTTTCTTAACCAACTCGGCTGACGCCTCCTGTTCTTCTGATTATTTCGTACTCTGTCTGCTTTCTTTCTTTTTTAAGGTAATTCCCTTGAAAGAAATTTTGCCAATAACTTTGTCCTGAAACTTTGCATGGACATTAATTATGTTATGGATATTTAAAAACTGCAATAAAAAGATGGGGTCACCATTCTCTATTCAAAAAAGAGAAAAGAGTGAAAATTGGTTTTGAACATGTTTCGTATTTAGTTTCCAAAAGAAAAAYGCCTAAACTTTGTTAGTTCCATTCATTTAGTTGCATGCGCAGAAAAATGAGCAGTGMAAAAMAAGGGMATTACCTTGAGATTTYCTCGTACGCAGGCATTTATTTCAAACATTTACATATATGTATGAGTCTATATGTATGTGTTATTCAACCAAGCTGATATTAAATTGGAGTAGGCCGAGAGGACCCTATGGGGACGAGGTTGCGCAAGTTAAATGCTAAATAGCGGCAGAGGAAGTGAAAAACAAGAACAAAACTAARCAAATCTTAAAACTTTCGTATTTCGCTTCCTTTGCAGGACATGGTTCATATTGCAGATACCAAAGTTGAACGCCGCTATGGAGAGTTCTTTATTAGACAGATCCACAAGTGTGAAGAGGTAAGTGTGGTAGGTAGTTTTTACCCAGCCGTTCCCCCTATCCGTCTTTTAGTTCTACCTTACAAAKTATATTCCTTTAGCTTGTTGCACACTTTATTACTTACTTTAGGGCTTTTTTGTCCTTTTGGGTATYTTTCAGCTCGTAAGAAATCTACAAAGCAACTAGGAAAGACGCTGCCAAGTTGTACTATGACTAACAAACTGTTACTCAGAGTTTTCAAAGCCATTAATGTAAAAGAACATTTTACCACAGGGAGCCCAATATAAAATKTTTCTATGGTATCTGATGTTGATCTTATGTCAGAGTATATATACATAAGATCAACATCAGATACCATAAGGAAATTATATAGGGAAACAAAGGCGCGTGCGAAAAAAAAATGTTCTAGTGCATTTATTATTGATTTGTTTACTCTTTCGCATTACAGAGGACATTATCTTGATCTCAAATTTTAAAAAATATTAATTATTTAATTTTTCCGATTTTATTTTT